AAATTCACTATGGGGAAAGAGCACATGAATTCAGAAGGAAGCCTGGTAAAGGGATAGGCTTGGCGTCAGAGAGAACTGAATTTGAATGTGAGTTCTGCCAGTTATGGGTTGTGTGGCCTTGGGCAAGTCACTTTACCTTTCTAAACCTCTTTCCCTCCCCTGAAAAGTGGAGATGGCAAGATGTACCTTTTGGTAGTATTTGGCATATTTACACACATATAGTGTAAAACAGCTAGTGTGTAGCAGCTGTTCAATAATTAGTAGCTGTTGTGATGTGCTCAATATATTTTCTGAACATCTACTACACGTAAAGCACATTTATAAATAAAATGGTGATTCTTCCCTTTGAGATGTTTACAATCTACCCAGGGAGACGAGCCATGTACGAAATATATTCAGTAAGATAAAATGTTTTAGCAGCACTTGTGGGCTAAAAGCAAAAGCAAAAAGAGAAAAGATAGATTATTACTGCTCAAATGAGAGATATAAAATATAATAATAATAGCTATCATTTACTAAGTGCTTACAAAAAGCCAATCACTGTGCCAAGTGCTTTATAATGATCTCATTTTATTTTTGTAAACTCCTTCTTAGAAAGTACTATTATTACCTCTACTTTACAAAAAAGGAAGCTGAGGCTCAGAGAGGGGAAGTGAATTGCCCAAGAGTGCACAGCTGGGTAGTGGCAGAACACAAGGGTGAGCCCCATTCTCAGCTCTAGGCCTCACATCCTTATGAGAGAAACCCATCCCTATAACTCCTAGGCCTCACCCAGGTGTTACCATATGGTAACCCATTTCCTGTCCATCTTTTTTCAAGATGCCAGCTAAAATTTGGGTATATACTCTAATGCCTCAAAGGACTGGTAATTCACCGGATTTTCTATGATGAAATTAGTGCCTGTGTAGCAAAAGAGAGGCCAACCAAATTAATAACCTCCTCCAATCATTACAGCACTGAGGGCTTGTTACTCTGCCCAATCTTATTTTTTTTTTTTTTTTTTTTTTGAGACAGAGTCTCACTCTTTTGCCCAGGCTAGAGTGAGTGCCGTGGCGTCAGCCTAGCTCACAGCAACCTCAAACTCCTGGGCTCAAGCGATCCTTCTGCCTCAGCCTCCTGGGTAGCTGGGACTACAGGCATGCGCCACCATGCCCGGCTAATTTTTTCTGTATATTTTTAGTTGTCCGATTAATTTCTTTCTATTTTTAGTAGAGACGGGGTCTCGCTCTTGCTCAGGCTGGTCTCGAACTCCTGAGCTCAAACAATCCACCCGCCTCGGCCTCCCAGAGTGCTAGGATTACAGGCGTGAGCCACCGCGCCCGGCCTCTGCCCAATCTTATGAATCAACAGGTCAATCAGGAAGCACATCCTAAGCCCTGGGGTATATGCAGCTCTAATAACTATCAGAGTTCTATGCAAGGCCCAGTCTTTGTCTATCTTCTCTTCCTACTCAGCACTCTTTCAGGACAATCTCATTCATTCTCATGCCTTCAGCTACCATCTATAAGGCTATGACTTTGAAATCTCCATCTCCAGCTCATTTCTCTCTCCTGAACTTTGCCACTGGGGTGACGCACAGACAACTGATATTCAGTGTGCCTACATATGAACTCATCTTTCCTGCCTCACCCACACTGTTCTGTGTTTTCTAGCTCAGAAAAAAGTACCTCTGTGGCCACCAAAGATAGAAATCTAGATATTTATGATTCCTTTCTCTCTCTCTCTCTCTCTCTTCCTCTCTCTTTGCCTCTGGTTAGTCATTAAATCATTCTATCTCTTTTATATTTTTAAAATCTTTCTTTGACAGTCATACCTCAGCCAGAGTTGTGCCAAAGTTCCTAACTGGCCTTTTTTCTCTAGGCTCTCTTTTGCCAAGCTTTTTTCCACATTGCAGCCAGAGTTAGTTATCTTTTAAAAACTCACATCTACTCTTTATTATGGTTTACAAAGTCCTCCAGAATCTGGGCCTTACTCCTTTTCTAGACTCATTTCTTACTCTTCCTAAACTCAGATTGTATATCCTAATTCTACTTAACTCAATGTCCTTTTGTACATACTGTGCCCATTACCTGGAATTCCCTTTCCTCTCTTCTCTACCTAGCTAACACCTATTGATCCTTCAAGTGACTGTGGGCATTAACTACCTCTTCCAGGAAGTCTTCCCTGGTGCCCCAGGATGGATCAAGTGTTCCACTTGTTTCCAAAACAGCTGAATAGTTTATATCTTATTACCTTATTGCATCAAATCACATGCTACTGTCTCCTTCGTTTAACTCTGGTTCCCACAACTTGTTTATAAACTCTTTTGAAGGCAGAAATGGAGTCAACAGCTAAGTGATTGTCTAGAACACAGTAGACTTTCAAGAAATGTTCAATTTTTAGAAAAATTAATGAATGGGAAGTAGTGTAGGTTATAGCAGGGGAACTAGAGCTAAAAGTGGCGGTAATAAAGAGGGTGGACTCTGAGGTCAGCTGATTACATTTGTATCCTACCGTCCCCACTTGTTGCCTACGCTTCCCCACCCGTAAAATTACATTAATAATGGTACTTGGCTCATAGGGGTGTTGTGATAATTTTAATATTTTGTTCGCTATGTGTTTTTGCATTAACTTTGTAAAATATAGTATTAAAATATCAGCAGGATGGTGACCATGGAAGTCAAAATCCGCTAAGGAATGTGTAACAACTCACTTGCCATAATAAAAAATAGATTATTTAATTACTGAGTTTTTTGGTGTCCCCTTAAATTTTGTACTCCAGGTGAATGCCTCATTCGCCTCACCCTAGTCCCTGCCGTCTGCACCTTGTACGCTTGACATGTTAGCAGCATTCAGTAAATATGTGTTGAATTTAAAATCTCACTTTATTTTTAAGTTAAGGTATAATATACACAGTAAAGTGAAAAAATAGTAAGCGTACTGCTGAGATCCCTAATTGTTCAGCACATTATGCTAAGCAGTCCAGAGCGTCTTCCCTTTCCACATTCAGGTACCTGACAAAAAGAGGTCTTTGTTTTATAACATTCTTGTCTCCTCTTCTCTTTTCTCTGCAACTCCCTTCCCCAGGCTCACACCCGCCCCCCAAACCCCGACAGTGCTGCTCCCAGTTCAAAGTTTAAACATAATCTCTTTCTTCGGTCCTACCAGTTCCAAGAAATTTCCTACACAAAAACATCTCCAGGTCGTCGAACTTGAAAAAAATATTTTCCTAGAGGACGGCCTATGACACCAATGCTCTTGGCAACTCCCGGAGGACACCACCTCCCATACAGCCACACCCAGTTTTGCGCATGCGCTATTGCTTGCCCGGCGGCAAAACGCGGTCTCTCGCCCTCTCGGTATCCTTACGTTGCGCGACGTCGGCTTCCTGCCGGAAGTGGGAAGAAGAGGAAATTGAGTGGTTGCACCGGTCAGGGGGTTTGGCGAGCTGGGTTAACTTGAAGGTTGGGGTAATTGTCGCTCGAAGGCTCCGAGTTGCGCGAGTGGATGTAATTCCTGGCTTTGCAAGAAGAAGGTAGAGCGCGCGGGGAGGTGTGTTCCTAGTGTAGGTGGTCACGTGTCCTGGATGCCGGCTTAGGAGGACCTGAAAGAACTTCCCGCTTCCACCTAACTTGCTTTAAATGGCATTTTCAGAGAGGCAGAACGTCTAGTCTAGTCTGGTCCAGGTTCTGCCACTGACCTGCCGTGTGCGTCCTTGGGCCCCTCTCTGAGTCTTAATATCCTCATCTATAAAACGAAGGGAAGACAGGGTCCCTTAAGTCACTTTTACTGACTTCTGAATGTTACTGCATGTCCATTATGTCCTTTGAGCCACATAACCTCGGGAGTTAAATATCGTTGGCCCCGTTTTATAAGGAAGACATTGAGTCCCAGGGTCAGAAGATGCATGACTTTCTCAAGACAGCACAAATAACTTTTGGAGGTTTCAGAATTTAAGACTAGCAACTTGAGACTAGAAGGATATGCTGTAACTCCATCATCAGATTTCTTTTGAATATTTCTGTTATTTATGTTTATCTTTTATTTATATTTCAGTTCCCGAAACTGGCTATATAAGCTGATACTCATTTGAATGAATGAATGAATTTTTATTTCGAGGCCAATGCCATGGCAGATCTGGTGTCTCTCCACCACTCTGATGTATAAACAAGTATAGCTCTTTTCCAGGTGTATCTTGTGCCTTACCTGATTGGGGGCTCTGAATCCAGTTCTGTTGTCTTCCACTTAATCAGACAGACACCATGGAGGCACCTCCAGTCACCATGATGCCCGTCACTGGGGGCACCATTAACATGATGGAATACTTGTTGCAGGGTAAGTGAATCCGAGAGCTTGGATTACCTATTTTCCGCTTTTCTGTTCCACTTCCCTGGAGATAAGAGACTGTTACACAAAGGCAACCTACATGGTTTCTGGCACCCAGTACATAACAACTATTTTTTTTAATTGTTATTTTAAATTATGGTTTCATATGCATTAAATGCATTAAATTTGTCATCCTGAACATTTTAAGTGTATAGTTAAGTAGTGTTAAATGTATTCACATTATTCTACATCTCTAGAACTTTTTCATCTTGTAAAATTGAATCTATACCCATTAAACATTAATTCCCCCTCCCCTCTACTCCCAACCCTTAGCAACCACCTTTCTACTTTCTGTTTCTGATTTTGACTACTTTAGAGACTTCATATGAGTGGAATTATACAGTGTGACGGGTTTATTTCACTTAGCGTAATGTCTTCAAGGTTCACCGATGTTATAGTATATGACAAAATCTCCTTCTTTTAAAAGAATGTATAGTATTGCATTGTACATCTGTACCACATTTTTTTAATTCATTCATCTGTTGATGGACATTTGGGTTGCCTCCACCTCCTGGCTGTTGTGAATAGTGCTAAGAGGAACATGGGTGTGCAAATATCTCTTTGAGATCCTGTTTTGAATTGTTTTGAGTATATACCCAAAAGTGGGATTATTGGATTATATAATAATTCTAATACCATGCCCCAAAATGAAAGGTGAGACTCAATAGCACTTTTTCCCTCTTCAGGAAGTGTTTTAGATCACAGTTTGGAAAGCCTCATCCACCGCCTTCGTGGTTTGTGTGACAACATGGAACCTGAGACTTTCCTTGACCATGAAATGGTGTTTCTCCTTAAGGGTCAGCAAGCCAGCCCATTTGTTCTGAGGGCTCGGCGCTCTATGGACAGGGCAGGGGCACCCTGGCATCTACGCTACCTAGGACAGCCAGAAATGGGAGATAAGAACCGCCATGCCCTAGTGAGAAACTGCGTGGACATTGCCACATCTGAGAACCTCACCGACTTCTTGATGGAAATGGGCTTCCGCATGGACCATGAGTTTGTCGCCAAGGGACACTTGTTCCGTAAGGGCATCATGAA